TTAGTGGTACCATTTTTCTTCTGGTAGCGTACCAGTGATAGTGGTACCTACCAGTACCATAAGGTAGCTGGTAGTGGTAGCGTACCACTATCATCTGGTACCACTATCATCTGTTTTTTTGTGTTATTCTCTACTGGTACAGCTACCAATGCTAGTGGTAGCGTTACTAGTACTAGTGGTACGATACAATATGGTAGTGGTAGCGTTGTACTGGTAGCATACCACTAGTACTGGTACATTTTTTAACGCACTGGTAGCGTACCACACTGGTATATTAATTACCAGTAGACTAATGGATTGGTACACTTTTTAACGCACTGGTACATTTTTTCAGGTTGCTGGAGGGAGTCTGCCGGAGAGAATTCGCCGGAGAAAAAGTATATCCGTCGATGCGGAGTGGCCGCTGGAGAAAGGAAGTGAGAGAGTAGATAGAGATATTAATGTATAGAATTTTAATTTCAAAAAAAAAATTGTATTTAATATGGGTTTTTAATTCCCAATATAATTAATACAAAAAAGGTAATTAATATATTCTTTTTTCATACCCAAAATACCCTTAGTTGTGAATCTGACAACCCCTTAAGGTTTCTCACCGTATCCCGTCCCCACTTTCACACATGTCCTCCAAAAAATAAACATCAACCATGAGATTTAAATAAATTACCTCATGCTCACTAATCTCAATTGTACACCAATAGGAGATAAGAAAGTTTTTGATACATACGAATCTTACATATTATATAACTAATGTTATATCTTCCATAAATAATAAACATTAATCAAATTTATTTTATATAATTTGGTTTTGTGTATATAATAGTTTACCAAAGCGGATAGTAAAAAACTCATATCCTACAAAATCCCATCTCTGACAGTGTAGATGGGGTGTTCAAATGATTACTGTGGTAATAACCAAATCAATTAAACCTAAATTTCATTAACCATGAAATAAAATATCTTAACCAAACCATCCAAATTAACACGAAAAGAAAATTAACCAAACCAAAGTTTAATTGGTTTGGTTAATAAGATAATCGAATTAACCAAATAAGATAACATTAAATGAAAACAAAACTATCATTTTATATAAGCAATAATAACAAGACTAACCATCCATGATATCATCATTCTTCGATTTAATACATTATTCATCATCTCTGCACCTAATATAGGTAGCTTACAACAAACTCTTTAACATAAATGCATACCAATACCCATCATCAGGAAGTTAAAGCTCTCCTACAGAACACTTAAACTATACATAGTTTGGGGTGGTTGTCATGGAATTGTATGTAATCCTAAAGTCAAGTAGTTGTCAAAAATGTTTTGGTTTAGTAAATATAGGCATGCCCATTTAATTTTAGACCCATAATGTTTTGGTTTGTTGTGCACATGGAAATAAAATAGGGAATCACGAATGTTTGGTTTGGTTGGTTGCATGGAAGTATAAATAATTTTGTAAATTAGGTGTATCATTTATTGGTTAATTGGTTTCATTGGTTAGCAGTGTTGAAACCAAACCAAACCACCTAAACCAAATAAGCTAAATTGTTTACCAAACCAAACCAATTATCCAAATTAACCAAACCAAATTAACCGAATGCTACCGGTTAATATGGTTACCACGGTAACCGATCCGTTTGAACACCCCTACTGATAAGGAAGGAAGTTAAAATGACAGCTTGGTAATTTTACCTTTTTTTGTTTTGTTTGGTTGAAGGTTTTTCTTGTCGTGGATGAAGATGCACACTATAATATCCATATTGCTATATTTTGATAAAAAATAGTCAATTAAAACACGTGGTAGTTGGAGTATTATCACTATCATCTTTGTCAATACCATGATCTTATCACTATGATAAGACAAAATGAACATCATACCACTATCACATCATGCTATCATCACTATGATATCATGACAATCATATGATGTCATCAAATTATTTTGCCAAACATAATACCACATATCCATCATGGGCGAACCTACTAAGGGGCGGGGTGTGTCGTCCGACACACTCTCACCCGGAAATTTTGTGAATGGAATATATGTTTTTTGTACAAATTTTTTTTTAATTTGAGACTTCCCACACACCTAAAATAATTGTGAGCTACATACCTTCATTATATGAAAATGATTTTCTTGTTATAAAGTTATTTACCTTAATTAGTAATAAAAATAATAAGTAAAATCAAATAAATATGTTTGTTTTAAAGTAAAACACACCACAACCCAACAATGAAAAAATATACATAAACCCATCATTTAAAAATTATCGTTTCTACCCCTTGACCCTTTCTTTATTGAAAATAAAAAATGAAATAAAAAACTCACCCTTACCTCTTTTTAGTTTCTAATTACCGAGCCCCACCGTCACATCTCCTTTTCTTTTATATATCCTTTAGTTTACTTGCTCTTGAAGATGGTGTTGACTTTACTTATTGCAATTGCAAGATGCAAAAGAGCATTTTCAGCTATGAAGATATTCAAGAATGAACTTCGCAATCGGTTGAGTGACCAATTTTTAAATAATTGTTTAATTGTGTATATCGAAAAGGATTTGCTTCGCAATAGAAGCGATGAATGTATTTTACAGGTATTTCAGGACATGAAAAGTCATCGTGGTTCGTTGTAAACATGACACTGTGAACTTTATAAATTAAATTATTTTTAATTTAATTAAATTTTTTTAATTATTATCTTATTTCATCGGCGACACACCTCTTCGACAATTTTGGGTCCCCACTGATATCAACGTTAAATCATTATAATATTAAATTGTCATTACACCATAGTGAAATTATTATTGGCAAAGGCTAGCGTACGCCCGTTGAGTTTTGTTATTTAGACAATTAATTAACCGGAGTTTGGGACATGATATTATACCCTAACGCCTAACGCGTGAACCCTAGCTCCCAATTCACTAACCGAAAGCATAATATTCCATTAATCTTGAAATAAAAATCAACGATTCCGATTCGACAAAATTATCGTTGATTTTCATTTTAAGATTAAACGAATCTCATTGTTTGGGTTAGAAAATTAGGGGCGTGAGTTCAACCGTTAGAGGTTAGGGTATAATATCATACCCCAAACTCTAGCTAATTCAGGATCTAAATAGCAAAATGCGACGCACGTACGCTAGCCTGAACCAATATCATTTTATGATAGTGATATGATGTTATTGAATTATTTTGTCAAACATAAGGCATCATACCAACATCATATCACTATTGTACCAATATCATACATACTTCGTATCAATATCATACTACTATGATAACATATAACTGTCAATGGTAGTATCGTGATATGACTTTAGTATGATGATTTTTTATTATTCAAAATATATATCATCTTATCGAACACAAAAAAATAAGATATTTCTACAAAAATATTTAGAAATCCGATTTAAGACGAATGAGTTATGGTCTGTTAAATCTTTTAACAAGATTTGAAAAGTGCTTGGACAACATACATGGAAATCCGTGTGCTGTGCTTGCTGCTAGGGATGGCAACCAAACCCGAACCCACGGGTACCCACCCGACCCAACCCGGTCAACGCGGGTAAAATCCGTGTTGACGGGTTTTGGGTTGGGTTTGGGTTTAAACCCGTTCACTATTCACCGGGTTGGGTTGGGTTTGGGTTTAGATAAACCCGACCCGTGGGTACCCGCCCACACATATAATTAATTTTCTCGGTATATTTAATATTTTAAACAACTAATCTTATTTATGTTTGTGGAGACATGTCTAATTTTTTTCTTTCTAATTGTGTAGAATGAAGTTTGTGTTATGGAGTGGAGAGTGAAGAAACTTAATTGAAAGGAAGAAGCCTTCAATTAATATGTTATTTATGGATAATTTATGATTTACTTCAATTTTCTTGAGTTTTCTAGATTGCGTTGAACAATTTGTATAGTTAATTTGTGATTTGCTTGAATTTTCTAGAATAGTGTTTTAAATATGGATAATTTGTATTGAGAGATTGATATTTGACTTTAATTTTGATAGGAACATGTTATTGTAAATTTTTTACGACAAAAACCCGTGGGTACCCATGAACCCGCGGATACCCAGCGGGTTGGGTTGGGTTTGAGTTTTTCAAACCCAGTGGGTTTTACCCCGGGTTTTTTCACGGATAAACCCATGAGTTTGGGTTTGAGTTTGGCAAAACCCGACCCAACCCGACCCATTGCCATCCCTACTTGCTGCCGCCCCAAAAATTTGGTAAGCTCCCCCATCTCTTGTTTTCCTCATTGCCCCTTTATGATATGGACTATTAGATATCTCATTCTCAAATTACTACCATTAGAGTAGGTTTCGTAGTATTGCAAATAAGAATGGTTTTGTATTGGAACTTGTTTACTATTAGTTATCAATTTCTAACTATAAATTATTTTATATAAACTAATTATTTTAATGGCTTCTCGTTAACTAATTTATTTGGTGTTTATAATTTTTCACTTTTCCTTACGTATTATATTAAAACCGGTATAATCGGCATAAACCGGTATAAGAACAGCCATACAATTGTACTTGCTTCATTGGTTTAAACCGTTTTGACTACTTTTTCGTCTAAGGCACAAATGTAAATATCCGTAAATGGTCCTAGACAAATAGCTAATCTATGACCCTTGAAATGGGTCCTCAGCGACAGTGACTCCTTTGATCAATGGGAGGGGTGGAAGTGTATTTGAGATATAACGAATAATGTATTGAATTTTTCACTATTTGTTATTAGCGATTATCGATTTATATTTTGGGATTCAGATTGAGATTTACTATGGAGTGCTATTTAATATTCGGAATTATGGGATTGAGATTGGTATATACCGAAATACCGAGAAACAACAAAATTTGGAAATTAATAAAAAATATATCACACAACCTTTAGTCATTCATCACTATTTCCCAACTCTAACTCATAAGCCCCATCCAACCCAATTTGTGATACCACATTGAGTACACCCTATACATATCATAAATCTCTACCGAGTGTGTACTTATTTCCACCCTAATTAACGGTAGAGATGTTATGTCTTGACTTCGAAGTTCGAACTTTGCAGTCTTCCTCGACCTTCCCAATTTGCATCTGCAGTTCAGTTCTACCGTCCGGTCTCTTGCCATCTGCAGTTCAGTTCTGTTCCACTGTTAAGACCCAGCCATCTGATTCCCGCGAAATTGTTGGGCCGACCTATTCTTTCGAGTTTCTTCTGAGGGGCTCATCGATTCGAATCGGGATTGACTGTATTTAATCCTCGTTCTTTTTTCTTCTGGTTGCTCCTTCCAAATGCGGAAGAGCGATTCCTTCAAGTACCCGGCTCAGGGAACCGAGTCAGGGCATCCACGGTGTGGTGATTTGGGGTTCGGAGGCAGCGATCGGAGGTACGCTTACTCCCGCCAATCTTCGTTTCGCCAACCGCAGGATCTCCCCGGTAGTCCGATTTCATTCCTGCCCAATGACGCGGGCAAGCCTTTTCTCTCCCGCACCTCCTCCAGCATCGATATGCCGCCGGAGATTTATAATTACTCTTTCAGTTACCTAAAGGATGGTGGTTTTGGCGATTCCAATGACTCGGCTGCCGGCGGGAGGAATGAGAAATTGTCGGTGTTTTCCGTGTTTAGGGCATTAAGGTATGGGAACCGGCAAATGAAGAGGCTTTTCCTGATGATTTTCCTCAATGTTGCGTATTCTACGACCGAGTTTGGGGTTGGGCTAATTACTGGGCGTGTGGGTAAGAAATTCAGCTACTTTCTGGAAATTTAGAGCTCCTAGTACTATGTTTCTAGGGATAGTAATTGGTTTGTTTCCTTTTTGTTCATTTTTCAGGTTTGATATCTGATGCATTTCATTTGACTTTCGGGTGTGGTCTTCTTACATTCTCCTTGTTTGCAATGGCTGCTTCTCGGAAAAAGTCTGATCATGTTTACACTTACGGGTGAGTTTATAGCTTGCAATTCACTGTATAGAACTAACTTCGGTTGATTCTCAGACTACAACGAAGTTATATTTGTTTCAATGTATTGTCTTGATCTGGATAAAGATGTCGTATTCTCTAAAGCTTATATTAACTGGCAATCGTTCTTGGCAGGTACAAAAGGCTTGAAGTGTTATCCGCTTTTACTAATGCTGTAAGTATCCGACATTTCCTTTACGTTGTGGAATTGGATTTAGTTGAACTTAGGATAGTGTAAAGGAATAGGTTTTTCCTGAATCCTCTGAGTTTCCGATATCATTTTCATTGGCTAGTTTTGTATGTTCATGCTGTACAACTAGTAACTGTTTGGCCTGTCAACGGTCTGATTTATTTGAGAGGAATCGAGTGTGGTCCTAACTTTTATGTTACCGCAAGTTATGTTTCTACTTACAGCCTCTTTCCCAAAAATTGAGTAAAGAGTGAGCAGAAAGGAAACCCCCGGAGAGGAAAGGCTACTTACTCAATTGATTGAGGTCTTGGAGGGGCCATAAGGATAGTATATCTATCATCCAATAGTCCCAAAATATAGCCTTTTTACTGAGAATTTTCAGTCTTGTGCCCTTTATTGACCTCTAATTCAAGGGGAGATGAAGCTTCCTTCTTTCTCAAATTCTACATTTATTGTGCAGAAATTTATGCATTGGCATGAAGCGGAAAATCATCTGAATTATCTGCTTCATCTGCATTGTGTTGTTGCTATTAGTATTTTCACTTTGCTTGTGAAAAGTTTATTTATTTATTTTATTTCATAGCATACTTCAATCCGTTGCTCTAACATATAAGTATTATTGATTCTGCTGCTTGTGTAGACAGCTGTTTCTGTTGTTCATGTCATTCTCCTTAGCAGTGGAAGCTCTTCATGCATTCGTACAAGATGAATCTGAGCACAAGTGAGTAATTTGTGCCGACTTTGGAGTAGTTCATTAGTGCATAGTTGCGTTATTAATGCATGCAGATATCACTGCTAATTATATGATGCAGGAAAATATTATTTTGTGCTTGCCTATAATCTTCTACGGCGAGAAATAATGACTAAGAACTTGTCCTGTTTGTATTGCAGGCATTATTTGATTGTCTCTGCTGTCACAAATTTGGCGGTGAATCTTATTGGTGTCTGGTTCTTCAGGAATTATGCCCGTGTAAATATTGGTAAGTGTCATCAGCTGGCCAAAATGAAATTTGACCCAAATGCTGCGCTACTTGTGCTAATAGAACATCGCTTTCTCCTGTTCATACTCACTAATGAGGTTTTGGTTATCCTCGCTTGTGTGAGCTTAAGAGTAACACTTACCAGTTTCTTTTACTCTTCCACCTATTCGAAGTTGCTTCTTAACTCTATTTTTTTTCAGTCTACAGAAATGCTGAAGACATGAATTACCATTCAGTATGCTTGCATGTCTTGGCCGACTCCATTCGGAGGTCTGCTCTTTATTCCCAGTTGCTTTGTTTTTGTAGAATTCTTGTGTTGCCATGTTGAGCTAGTGTCTTCTTCTTATTGTGTCTCAGTGCAGGTTTGGTACTGGCATCATGGTTCTTATCGCTTGGGTAATTAATTTTCTTTCCTTCCATTTGTTACCGTCATTGAGAGTTGTGAAAATTTTTCCTCCCCCACGCTTCCTGGCACCTTCGGTTGTGCTCATCAGTAACCATTTTTCTTGTTATGTATGTTTCAGAGTTAAGAATGCAGAGGTTCTGTGCTTGGGTCTAGTTTCTGTAACCGTGTTTATGCTTGTCATGCCTCTTTTCAAAGCGGCTGGAGGTGTGTTGCTTCAGATGGCACCACCAAGTATTCCATCTTCAGCGTTGAGCAAATGCTTGAGACAGGTGAGAACTGTGAGATCTTTCCAGCTAGCTAAACTTTTCGGAGTCCAGTATTCATGACTTCCATATAGTTGGCTTTCATTAGAATGCTTATTGAAATTTCTTATGTGTCTCTACTTCTCTTTGTAGATCACTGCTTGCGAAGATGTTTCCGAGGTATCGGAAGCCCGTTTCTGGGAATTGGTTCCTGGCCACACGGTTGGTTCTATCTCATTGCAGGTACATTATTGAAGGCAGTCAAGTTCAATCTGCAATCTCTTATTTTGTTTGGAGCGCTTTACATTACTCTGTGCTTTTGTCTACATCATTTTCCCTAACAACCGAACTCTTACATGTCAATGTATGTTCCTTCTGACACTTGCCACCAGGTGAAGGGAGGAGTGGATGATCGGCAGGTGCTAGAATTTGTACATGGGCTTTACCATGATTTGGGGGTGCTGGATCTCACTGTCCAGACTGAACAGGAATGAATAAGAAGTTTTCAGCTTTAGCTGTATGTTTTGGCTTCTCACTTGGTTGCAACTCTTACCATTTTCATTTACCGGAGTGATGGATAGTCTACAAGAGATCCAGCGGATAAGATATCTTTGGAGAGTAGTATTTCGTTGTTTTTGATAGATAGACAAAGATTTTATCAGACTAACAGTAATCTTAAACAAACACAGCTATTTGTCGAGTTATAGTGAGTGATCAAGATGTCGAACTTACTACCCTTGTAGTTCCCTTTTGCCCTGGTTGATCTTCTTCCCCTTTTTTGTTTCAAACTCTAGCTCGCAGAAGAAGCCTATGTAAGAAGTGTCGCTAAATTTTTTCAAGAAACAGAAATGATAAAATTGCAGTTGCCAACTATAGGTTGGAATACTTTTCCAGAGGCTAAATTACATATTTTAGACAATTTTTTATAGGGTAAATTGCAAGCTTTGGCACTGGATTCATAAAAACATTCATATTTGGTAACTGGAAATATTGAATTCTATTCGTAGTCACTAAGTTTGCTAAAACATGTCATGTTTGGTCACTCTTTATTAGCCTTCTCTAACAACGTCAGTTTTTTTGCTGACGTGGCTAATAGAAACGCATAGTCAGCAAATTTTAACACAAAAAAAATAAAATTGACACGTCACGTCATTAAAACCAGCCACGTCAAAAAATCAAAATCAACCACCTGTGACCCGACCCACGTTATAAAAAGTTGGGTTCCTTCGTTTTGCAACTGCGGTCGGTCGTTGAAGCTGTCGACGGTCTTCTCACCTTTACCTTCTTCAGAAGCTAAGGTTTATCATCCCTTCTCTCCGTGCAAACCCTCAATTTCGTCAAAGAGGAATCGATTGGACCAGACTAACCTCCAGGAGCTAGACTTCACCGCCACAAGAGTCTATACCCTCATCCTCTGTCATGCAACTAGAACGCCTGAAGTTGATATAGATTTCCAGCTAGTGACATCTAAGGATAGGGCTGAAATTTGCACTGATCCGTCCCTGACCTTGTCTGACTCGTCCCTGAAGGGTAAGATGTATAACTTACCCGTCCCGTCCCTGTTTTCGTCTTGACATTGTCTGACCCTCAAGGGTTGGGACGGGTCGGGTAAGCGGGTCGACCCTAATCAACACACTACTTTTTTACAAATTACGTACCAAAAACTATTTTTCTTACAATTTAGTACCTAAAATTTATTTTTACAAATAAGTCCATAAATTTTGATGATAAAATTACGTTTTGGTACCCAAATTTTTTATTTTTACAATTTAGTAACTACATTTTTAAAACTTTGCAAAGAGGTCCAATGTGGTATGAGATATTTGTTGTTGCTAAGGGTCACAGGGTCAAAAAGTGACCCGTCCCAAAGTTGTCCCTACCCGTCCCGACCCTTACAGGGTCAACAATTGACCCGTCCATAATCTGACTATGTAGACAAACTGACCCGTCTCGGCCCTCAGGGACAGGAGGGGTCGGGACAGGTTAGTTGGTCCTCCGGGTCAAGCTTACACCCCTATCTAAGGAGGCGGTCACATCCACGACAACTGAGTAAGAGCGGTGGTCCAATCTTCTTTGCCAGGAACCCTTCGTGCATGCCGAAAACACTTTCTTTGATTCGATTCGTGCGTGAATGGACCGACATTGGGTGTAAACGAAGGAGTGGGTCTTGTTGAAGGTTTGCGATGACGGGAGCTACTAAAGGCGAAGGACAGAGGAATCTGGGGAGTTGGAGTAGAGGATGAAGGTTGCCACGAGTTTATCGATTTGGTCAAGGTTAGGGTCTTAGATCTCAAATCCATCTCTAATCGCTGCTCCATAACTCCACCTGCCACCGACCTCTCCGCCTCAATCACCCATGCTCGACTTCACCCGCCCCTTCTTTGTCGAAAGTTGCACTGGCTCGCCATAACGAAGGAGCCTGTGAAAGTAGATCCACCCACATCATTGCATTCTTCCCTTTGCCTTGCATGTTCCCGCTGGTCGCCACTGCCTCACTCATCCTCGATAGTCGACAGTGATATCCAAACCCGCCCTGCCTTCGCCGATCCTCTTTCATACCTTCTGCATACTCGTTCAGAGATTGTTCTGGAATAGAGGAGAGAGAGAAGCATAATGGAGAGAGGGATAGGCGGAGAGGAGAGAGAGAATGTGTATGGGTTTAAATTGGGTTGGGTTATGTTGACCGTCCAATTTCGTTGAATGCATTCTATGCGACAATCAATTAAGACTTATGACCGATGTGGCAATTTAAAAAGTAAATAAATAATAATTTTTCCAATTACGTCCACTTCTTCCTTCAAACCTCACTTCAATTAAGACTTCTGAATCTAATCAAACTTCTCACCCACCGTAGTTTAATATGATTGAGAATTTTTCGGTTTTCGCGTTGGTGATGGAGGACATGGAATGTGGCTCACATGTAGAAAATGTAAGGAGGGACGCCAACACCTGGAGGGACGCGGAGGTTCGCCAACACCTGGAGGGCGTGGGAGCTAAGAACATTGCCGACGACAGCAATGAGAAAATCAGTTGAACCCGTGACGCCGTATTCGGAGAGTCTGAGCACCCAAAAGTTTGCAGAGAGGGTAACATGGATTGATCACTTCGATCCGTGCAGATTATTGTCAATGGTTAGCACATGTCAACAACTAGTCTATCTTAAGCCAAGTTTAACCTAAGATGGCATTGTCGTATAGTGGTAATCAAGGTCATATTTTACTCGGGTCCTGGTACCCTAGCCTACTTCCCACCTAGTTGCTAATTAGTTAATCGGTTTTGGAGGGTCGAGTGGAGGATTTGAGGAGATAACTAGACTAGAGATTGATCAAAGCTAAAAGCAGGTACTTCAACTTTAAGCAACTAATCCCTCCCCCCCCCCCCCCCCCCCAGCTTAGGGTTATTGAATGCAGTGAGTGAGCTCTTTTGCGTGGGCTTTCTTGGTTATCCACACGCCTCCGAGTACACCTCCACTAAACCCATATATAGTCACCTCGATCTAGGCTATTGTATCTGGGGCATTAAGCTTATGGCTCATTTCAATGGACACTATCCACCATCCACACCGAGGTTTTATCCCGGGTTCTATCTAGGAAGGCTAACCTATGACAAGGGTTTGGTCTCCTCGGCCACCCTAGGTCCCTATTCATACATCTATCACAATTTGCTTTATGGCGCATACCCGTCTAACCCTAGAGCTCCAAACCCAACGTAGAAGCATAAAGTAGGCTAATAAAGAAGATTGGGGCGCCCTACCATAAACACAATCCATGATAGAATAGCAATAAAATCAATTAGATAAACACATCCATTCATTCAAATCCTTAAATATCCATACATACATAATAAACCCTAAAACTAGGGTTTGGGGTTTAGAACCCCTAGTATCTTAGAGGACTACTCCATAAAGGAGGGAAGGGAAGAAGAAACATAGAAGAAATTGAAGAAGACTTGGGTTGAGGAAGATGCTCACTCTCTTCTATCTCCTTTTCCTTCCTTCAACTTCTCTCTCCTCTCTCTCTAAAACCAGAAAATTCTCTCAAAATTAGATCAACTAAAAGGGGGAAAGGGGTCTCCTATTTATAGAATCCTGAAAACACGGACAAGTTCACGGCCAAGGATCTAAAGTTCGCGGTCGTGAACTTGTGAGGCGAGGCCACGATCTTTGGTCAGCACAATTACGTGTTGAAAACTCGGGGTTCACGACCTGACATCTCGATCGCGATCCTTGATGTCGCGGCCGTGAACTTCCTCGTAGGCTCGCAGGACGGTGGCTGTGACTCAACTGTGGAAACTCTTTGTCTCTCCTTCGCTGGCTGCCTCTCCAAGTTCGTGCTCATCACTCCATAGATCGCGGTCGCGATCTTTAGGCTAGAGGTCGTGATCTTAGCTCTTTCTTCGCGTCCCCCGTTCCTGGTCGCGATCTTCCTTCTCTAGACTGTAATCTTCAGCCTTTCGCCCACATCTCTATACTTGTGCTCCTTTTAGTACCTAATTCGCATGTATTGTCTAAAGCACGCTAAGATCACATCATAATCAAGAGTATAGGCAGTCACAAGACTTAAAACTTTGTACAAAGTGGTCACAAAAGTTTCATTTTGCACTAATCAGTAACACATGTTTGGACGTGTAACATAATGGTCATTTCCCTCCATTTCCATATAAAGTTCTTTCAATTTTGTCTAGTCAGCAGTCCATGCCATCCAAATAAGAATAAATAATTTCACCGCACCATCCAAACCTGCCAACCGAACTAACACTACACACACGAACCATAATAATATTACATACGTATTTTAACAATTTTTATGACCATTTCGCTACATAATGAAAAGAAGTGTAACTATTTTATTACAAAATGAAAATGTTTGTGCCCATTTTGTTTTAAAGTGAACCATTTTTTATTCTCAAGTGTTTGACCATCATGTTAAAAAATAAAAAAAATTGAAAATGTATCAACTCTTAAATTGAACCAAAATGGGTTTTGGAAGTGGTTTGAAACGAGATCTGGAATATTTGTAAAAAATTGTTAAAATACATATGCAATATTAGTTTGTCTCAGGTGGATTGGATTAGTTTGGATGATGAGGTATAATTTTTATTATTTTTTTGATGATGTGGATTGTTGAGGTATAATTTTTATTAAATTTTACTATTTTGTTATACTTCCAAGCTTGTGCTATTGAATTGTGCAAAATGAAACTTTCGTGACTATTTTGTTCAAAGTCCAAAAGGAATTCAAAGCCTTGGGCTAAATGAGAAGATTGAGAAACAAGAAGTTTACCAATCCTTAGGATGTACTGACTCGCTACAACACAACACCAAATTATGATCAAGTATAATCGTAGTCTGGAAATGCATAATAGTGGGTAAGTTTGATTTATCAACTCGGGGTCTAGATCTACTACCTACTCCGTGAACTTCTATTATCTAGCGGGACTAAGTTAGTGAAGGTGAATTCAAAGTAAATAGAAAGAAAGCAGTAAATTGTTCGAAGTTCTTAAGCAAGGAAAGAGTCACTCGGGATTGAGTCCCCCTAGCTCCTTAGTTAAGTCCAAGTTGTAATTTCCTTTGGTTGATTTACTGTTGATTAAACTGCGGAAGATCCGACAGTAGCTTGGAATCTCTTAAGCTGACCCCAAGCCCTCTTAGACAGACTAACTGACAGATGACTAGTCTTCACCGGGATACAATGCTAAGGCAATTAACACAAAACTCCACTACTGGAAACAGATTCCAGTACAAAGCAGTAAATTGACGGACTCTCGTACAATCAATCCACTCCTATCGATTGAGGAAGCTCTAACAACCTAATCAGATTCTATCTATCTCAGGTTGCAGGAAAAATGAAAATAAGTTGATTAAGATTCAATTGACTCAATAAACACACTTCAATCGATTAAAACCAATCAGTATATCAATCCAAAAGTCATTACAACTCAAATACCTAACACATGGAACTAGGGTTCTTCATACCCAAGTGAGATAAAGTTCTACTCCATAGAAAGAGAGTAAAAAACAACAATAAGAGGAATCATACTCATAATGATGTGTACAATAAGCTCTGGGATGATAATCTGCACTCCAAGGTAGAAATCCAAACTTGATTGATGAAACTCAACTCCAAAATCGATCCTAGAGTTTGTTCTTCGCAATTTCTCTCTAAAGCTTTGTTTTTGCTCTAAGAATTTGATTCCCCACTCAAAACCCGAATTTGGGTTCAAACCCAGAAATTCACGACCACACGGTCAGGCGACACGACCGGGCGACTTCTCTCGCGTGCCCTTGCAACTCTCCAAAACGCGATGTTTCATTTAGTGGCTCGTAGTGCGGCGCACGGCTAGAACTGCACGGCCGTGTGAAAACCTGACCTGCCCGTGTGACCTCTATGAAAATCCCGCACGGTTAAAAGGGCACCCCGCATGGCCCGTACCTCCTTGACAGCACAAAAAGGTGTTGCACGGTCAAGTTGCATGGCCTGTGGATTCATATCTTGCCCGTGCAACTCCTCTCCTTCCCATCAGGTGTCCAAACTTCGTCCAATCGACCCCGAATCCGTGCCCACACCTCCAGCAACGTACCAGGACCTGAAATTTTGCTAACAAGAACAACCTAACGTGAAATCGGTTTATAACACCAGTGTTAGAACAGAAGCGTGCAATCGATAATCCAGACTAACAAGAACGAACACAAATTTAACGTGGTTCACTAATACAATGTGTGCTAGCTAATCCACGGGTAGGGGAGAACAAAATTCACTAATTTGAGGAGACTACAGGTTACAAACCAAATTCCAAAACGGACAAACAAAACAACCGAATTAACATGACTGAACTTACTACATATTATGGTGGTGAAGAGTATTTATAGAACTCTTCTCCTAATCCCAAACAGAAAACCAAACACCTTTTTCCAAAACATATAAGGAAAATGTCAAAACAAAGGCCAAACACAAACCCAAACAAAATAGACCCAAACACAAATTAAACCGAAATCAAATTCAGGTCATATTCTAACAATCTCCACCTTGACTTGAATTCTCTCTCAACTACCAGATGTTAGGGGTGGCTATACGGTCCGGTCCGGTTAAATTGGCCCAAATTGATCCGGTCCAGTCCGGTCTTTTTGAAAATATAAGGACCGAAGATTGGATTGGATACAGTCCGGTCTTGATCCGGTCCGGTCCCAATTCGGTCTTGATTTTACATTGAGATTGTGGGATTTGAGTGGCCTAAGGCCTTAAAGGGTGAGGAGTTGGTTAAGTTTTGTACTAAGTGCAAAGGTTTGTGACCGTTTATGCAAATTACCCTTAAGTTTTGGGTGTTGAGCTCTCTTATCCGGTCTTTATCCGGTTTTTTACCTCAAATCTAAGCCCAAAAATTGGATTGGATTGTTTACTATCCGGTCCCGGTCCGGTCTCGGTCCGGGTTATACGATCCGGTTTCCGGTTTTTAATCCGGTCTTGGTCCAAATAGCCACCCCTACCAGATGTACCAAATGCAACCAAAGTTGCCAGATGTACCAAGACGCGATACATATCGCCAAACTAAGATGCAATCAAAATTTTTAGACGTAACAAACTCTCCAAATCTCCAAATGTGACAAAATCTCCCCAGCCTCCAAATGCCTCTGAAGGCGGTCAACAAACTAAACCATTCGGCAAGTCCAACCCATGCTGAGATTTGCCATTCAAAACCAACTTGGTGTTATTTCCGTCCATAACAGTTAACACCAACATCATATTTAACTCTAACTCCAAACCCGCTACTCCAAATTGACTTCTCAATTTTCAAATCTAGAACAAACATCCTTGTTGATCGAAACCCCTAGCCCTAACCACTCTAGTATAACAAACAGAATTCTGCCAAACCTAACCAGACGTTCCACCAAACAAGCATGACAAAAGAACGCAACAACCCAAAAATATGATTCCAACCGGATGCAAAAGATATCAAACTTTGCGGACTCTTCCAAATTGTAACCCAAACCCAACGTAACTCCACAATATTGCAAACTAATTACCCTTGTACTTCCCACGGGCATAGTTGCTTGTGGCCACCAACCAACCAAATTAATGATTCCAATCAAAATTAACCACCGCTTGGCAATTCATAACTCCAACTTACAATTGCCGGCTTTGCTAAACCCTGCACAAATTCAAACTTCCATGGCCACAGGGAGAGCACAAGTTCGGCCACAGTTGAAATTACTTTCGACCTCTTATCTCCACCGCAAGTAAATTTTACAACAATCCCAGAGCTGACCAAGCGCACCAGTCCAATCACAAAAGAATAGAAGTCTAATAATTCCACGCACGAATTCAATTGGGCCAAAAGAAAAGAACCCACCACAAACCAAATTTGGAGAAAAATCGGAAGGGCTTCCGACGCCAACCCAAAATCGAAGACTACCTCCCGATACCGCAACAGTGACCACGATCCCTAGCCAATTGCCCAGCCGACCAATCAGGCTCTGATACCATTTGTCAAACTGGGGTGCTCAATTAGTACGATATTTTCCGCTTTGGGCCAAGCCCGCACGGATTTACTTTTTGGGCGTCCTCCCCAAAAGACCTCGTACTAATTGTGCTAGGTGGACACTAATATACAAGGGTTCGTTCCCTTGTATTTCCGCTATAGTACTTGGATTGTCCCATAACAACTAGAAAAGGGGATTAAATAGTATAGGAATGGTGGGTAAAAACGTGTACAAATATCGAGTTATCAGGTACAAAATCGACTCAAAATAGCAAGAAGCTTTCAATTTCAACAATCAAGACCGATGAGCCTTAGCCTGATAAGAGATGTAACTTTTCCTAGAGATCAATACTACGAGGAGAGCAAAGGGTATTTGCTGTGGGTAGTTTAATAGGAAAATGGTTCAAGCCATCGGAGAGATAACTTGGGTTTAGAATTGGGGAAATACTGGTTAGTGATTTATGGAGAGTTGACCAAAGGGGTTAGAATATGTTCCATTGGCCAAGGTGCTTAATCGGATGTTCGATTTTATTCAACGAGCTTTAAGACATATATTTAGTAAATCTTCAGAGATCATATAATATTTGAGGGGAAGCTTGGAAGCTCGAAACTGAGCTGCAAAGGTGAAAGAAAGTTTAGCACGACTCCTAGTAGAGATGTCTAACTTATAATCCAATCCACTAATTCAATCCAATCCAATCCAATCCAATCAATCCACTTAATATCAAACTAATCCAAACAATTTGATCTAAATCCAATTGGATTGATGGATTGGATTCATGATATTTGATAATTTACAGTTTAGTACCTATATATTTTTATATTTTACAATTTTGTACCTAAAATTAATTTTTATAAGAAAAATGTCATTGAAAGATTACGTTTTAATTCCTAAATTTTTTATTATGAAATTTAGTACCTAAACTTTTCAAATTTACAAATTGGTTCAAGGTTTGGATTTATTTGGTTTCATTGATCAATCCACTAATCTCTATGATCTAATCCACGAATTCACTAATCCATTTGATCCATGGATCCAATCCATTTGCCACCTCTAACTGTCGGGATTAACAAGGGATGATATCGAGTCAGATCAGGTAAGGATAGTGATTATCCATCATCGTACCTTAACTAGCTCGGGTAGTATCCTTACCTGTACCCATACAAAACTTGTATAGAAAATTAAAATCATGTCCATACCCGAATGGGTTCCGAGTATCCAGGGATAATATGTTTCCTTTATCTTATCAACTATTGTCTTACTAATCACAAACATATTAATACTAAGAGGATTAATAAAAAAGAATATTATTTTATGAGATGCTACAAATATACTAGAATAGCGAATATTTAAAATAAAAGTACTGTACTGGGCCTAATTAATTTAATCAAAAGTAATATAACTATAAGCATAAGGAAGTGGGCTGGCATTTGTGTCTCTATCAAAGTACTGTACTGGGCCTAATTAATTTAATCTATAAATTGGACAGTAATCTAGGTGGGGCTTAAATGAGACAACTAGAACCCATTACGTACAACATATAAACTCCAGAACCCATAAACATATCTTTGTTTACGTCGTTGTGCTTTTCATGATCAAAACTTGTTTTCCTTTCGGGTAAAATATCTTGATGCTACTAAAGTATGAGAATTGGGAGAGTCATACCACTTAAGTATAAATAGGGTGTTTGGTACCACTAATATCACAAAATTGTGCATCTGTCCAAAATTCCGTTCATTCTACTATTAAGAAAGAACAAAATATTATATTTATATATAAAAAAAATTATAAAACAAAATTGAAAACAAAAAACAGAAGAGAGCTATGACTATCGGAATTTGGCAGAGATCTTCTCCTACTGAGGGCGAATTTTTTTGGGTAAGGATGATTTATTTTTGCACTCATCTTTCTTGTCACTCCCGCCTTTAATGGATCTTCAAGCAACAGTTGGCCAAACCGGGGTCGCCTGGAGCTGCAGCGGTGGCGGCTACGGAATGCAGTTTGAGTTACGGGTTCCCCGATCAAGCGACGAGGTATTTGCAAGGCGGGGGATTTGGAGGTTACAGCGCCGTGAGAGGTGGTAGACAGTGCCAGGTGGAGCAATCGATGGTGAGATCGACGTCGGGCATGGATTGCGGCGGGCAGATCGTCGCCGGAAAGTGGCGCATTTTGGAAGAGGAAAACTTGTTTTTTTCTTCCTTTTCTATATTCTTTTTTAATTTTTTAACCAAAAATAATATTTTATTCATTTTTAACTGTAGATGGACGGAATTTTGGATGGATGCACGATTCTGTGATATCATTGGTATCCGACGTCCTGTAAGTGGTATGACTCCCCCAATTCTAATACTTTAGTGTCACTCGAGGTATTTTACCCTTTTCCTTTCCTTCAAACTCTCTGTTCTATTTCCGTTCTTGTTTTAGAAAAAGCTAGGTTTCCAACAAAATGTGCAAACTGCAAAGGCGGCTAGAATCAGTAAACCGACGCGGAGTCTCGCGCTTGACTCAAACAAGCAAAAAGTTACGTTCTGTCTTCGGTTTTATGAGCGACGCTCTTATTTTGCTCACACACTAGTTTTTCTTCTTCTGGGGTTTCGCCGCTTCCACTTGAAGAAGGGTTTCCACCGCCGCCGTTCGACGGTTCTTTCCGTCTCCCCGCTTATCTTCCTTCGCTGCACGTCGGCTGGGTATTGATTTCTTTCTCTAATTAAAAATTAAATTGACTTATTGTTCGCCATGCACTAATCGCCATCGACTTGGCATATTATTCCTAGTAGTATTTGTATTAGTTATTCATTTAGGAGTTAGTTGACTTGCGTTATGTTTTACTTGTGTTAGTAGGATAAGGAGAGTAAAGGTCAAGTAATATTAGGGTAGCCATGTTATTAGGTTTAAGAGTCCAATTGTATGTACTTCGGCATTAGTTCATGTTATGGTTGATCTTGAAATAATTTTATCTTTTTGTATCGATTTCTTTTATAGGAGAAGTTGTAACACAATTTGCGGTTGTTCTCGCGAGAAGCAAAGGCAGTTGAGGAGCACATGATGAATTGCCATGCTGGCGCTCTTGCTGTTCCAACAAATGACATGGTGGTCACGACACGTCTTCGTAGGCTCGGTGAACCCGTAACACTTTTCGGAGAGAGAGAGATGGAGAGACGGGATCGGCTTAGAATGCTTATGGCGAAGTTGGACTCTGAAGGGCAGTTGGAGAAGTTGATGAAAGCCCATCATGAACAAGAGGAGGCTGCATTGACCTCAGGACAAGATGCTGCTGAGGAAGAAAAGCTTGAATACCCGTTTTGTACAGAAGGATCTAGGGAACTCTTTAAGGCCAGAGTCGACATTGCTAAATACTCGAGCGTGAGGGCGGCAAGGCGGCTTCAGCGTGCCAGATTAAAACGTGAGACTCCATGTGAAGATGAAGATGGTGAAATGAATGCTTCCTTGAAGCAAGCTGGAAATTTGGCTCTTGAGTGCAGCGAGTTTGGAGATGATCGACCCCTTTCTGGTTGCTCCTTTTCCAAGGATGGAGAATTTTTGGCCACATGGTAATTTTCTCCTATGACATTCCTCTTACTATTTTGGTTTTCTTGCATGCTTGTCTCAATTAATGCTCCACTGCACCTAGTTACAGACTTCATACAAAATTATTAAAATCAAGAAACACCTGGTAATTCTTAAAATATGTAGTTGTTTAACTGGATGATATTCATATCAAATTCCTAAATCTGTCACTAAGTATGTTGCGGGACGGAAGGATTCGAACATCCAAATAGCGGGATCAAAATCCATTGTCATACCACTTGGCCGCACCCCATTTCTATTTTCATTCAATACTACCAAAAACTAACATTTGTATTGATTTTTCTGTCAATTCATGCTCAAATTAGTTTGGTTTTCGTTTTTATATATGCGTAGATATATAATTCAACTGAATTCAATAATCATAATATAGAATTTAATGTAAACATTGTATGAAAATTGAGTTTCTTCTATTCTTTTTATTATTATTTGAGAATTGAAGAATTGTGAATTCATCGATTTTAAAAAGAAGGATTTTTTTGGACTATCTTGCTTGGATTTTCGATTAAAACGAAGCCCGTCTCATATTATTCATGAGTGGGTTACCACGTGTAGCATGAGATGTTCACTGATACATATATTTTTTCCTCTCATCATTACAGTTCATTAACTGGAGTTGCGAAAGTGTGGAAAGCACCTCATATAAGCAGTAGAGTTTCTACCTTGAAGGCCCACACGGAACGGCTAACTGATGTGGCATTCTCTCCCGTCAGCAACAACTGCTTGGCCACTGCATCAGCCGATCGAACTGCGAAACTGTGGGACAGTGATGGAACACTAGTGCGAACATTCGAGGGTCACTTGGATCGTCTTGCTCGCATCGGTTTTCATCCATCCGGAAAATACATCGGCACAGCAAGCTTTGACAAGACATGGAGATTGTGGGACGTCGAAACTGGGGTGGAACTGCTCCTTCAAGAAGGTCACAGCAGGAGTGTCTATGGGATCGCCTTCCATCACGATGGATCGTTGGTGGGATCTTGTGGGCTCGACTCGCTTGCTCGTGTGTGGGATCTTCGCACGGGGAGAAGCGTTCTAGCCTGGGAAGGCCACATCAAGCCGGTTAGATATTTAAACATTCCAATCCATTTTTTTTTTTATCGTTAAATTTGCTGCTTGTGACTTATTGAGTTTGTGTGCTCCTTCAGGTTCTCAGTATGAGCTTTTCTCCCAATGGCTATCATCTGGCTACAGGAGGTGAAGATAATACTTGTCGAATATGGGATTTGAGGAAGAGAAGGTCGATCTACGTGATTCCAGCGCACTCGAATCTCGTATCGAATGTGAAGTTTGAGCCTCGAGAAGGGTATTACTTGGTCACTGCGTCATATGACACGACTGCAAAGGTAATGTATCTTGTTACCTGGTAATATAACTTGCAAGTTCTTGGTTAAAGTTGTTGTCATGTCACGCGTATTATATACACACGGTTGGTTGTGGTGGCAGGTCTGGTCAGGAAAGGATTTCACTCATGTGAAGACGTTGTCAGGCCATGAGTCCAAAGTTACGTCGTTGGATGTTACTTCAGGTTGGTTTTTGTCATAATCTGTTGCTGTTGTGAGTCTTTTTCTTCTTTTGTGAACCGCGCATATGCTGACTTTTTTTTCTCTTGTATCTACAGATGGAGAATGTATTGCAACAGTGTCGCATGATCGAACCATCAAGCTGTGGTCCAGTAGGAGCTGTGACAAAGAGGGCATGGACGTAGACTGAGCTGGGCGATACATGTTTGTGGATTGAAGATCTTGGATCCTAATTGAAGTTCTTTTGGAATTGTTAATCTCACACCTTGAGACTTGCCGATGATAAGTTGACAAGGAGACCGAGGTTAATCACTGTTATTGAAGATGAGCAATTTTACACCTTTGTTTTTGGCAGAGATTAAAAAATAACTAGCTTTATCCCTTGCTCGTTGACAGGGTTAAGTTTCACTTATATTATTTATACTAGATGATTGATCCGACGTTTTGCGGTGTCTAATGATGAACATCTAATTCAGATTAAATTGAATTGGACTAAATCAATGCTTTTATTGCAGTTTGATTTCGAATGTCACAATATTTATTATAATAATTATTATTTTATAAGTTTTCTTAAAATTGTAAAGTTCTGGTGGACAAGATCACAACAAGAATCTCAGGATGAAAATATATTATTTCAGTAATTAACATCATGGTGCAATATTGGATGAACATATGTGTGCTGCCTATATAAGTGATAAAAGATATTGACACTAAATTTAGTAAATTCCTATGGGACATAAAAGAAAATTCTAAGAGAACTTAGAGCTGTGGTAGGCTGGGAGCAATTAAGAGTATAAAAAGAGGTTTAGGTATTAAGAGTATCGAGGCGCTTGAAACTTGGCTTGCATAACATTCTTATGAAAGAAGGATTGGAGATGCCTGCTGATAAGAAGTGTTGCTAGAGACTGCCCAAATCACTATAGTTGCTAACTCTAGGAATATGGAGTTGAACCTGATAAACCAGTTGCAGAAGGAATGAGGAAGCTTAAAGGTTTAGTGATGTTGGCTTGTGAAGAGAATGTACAACTTAGCGAGGATTGTCGAATTTTGAATTGTTTTGTAGAGGCATAGTAAGTATAGCTAGTGTTAAAAGTGATTTAGTGTAATTGGTCAATAACGATTAAGTGATACCATTATACTGCTTTACAACAAATGGAATTGTAACTTTGATAAATGTAAGACTCAAATGAGTTTTTTTTCTTTGTTGAATCAAATTCTTTTCATTAACGAAAACAGTGAGACCAAAACAGCCCCACCACAACTGATTACAACGAAGGGGCAATTCCAGTGTGAAATTACCCGTGTAGCAGCTACAAAACACTACTTCAAAACAAAAACTCCCTCCCACTGTACTGCCAAGAGCTAGCTACCCTCTAATACTAGAAAAATAGAAGACTCGCCTGCCGGCAGTCATGCATCAGCACCGGGAAATCACTAATTACAAATTTCAAGTCTCTTTTCCAAAGCTCTGCCACTACGTCAGCTTCTCGTGGCTTCTCCCCAAGACTCCTTCGACACCTCTCCTGCCAGATGAAGGTGATCAAAGAAGTCCAAATCAAACTAAACAGTCTTCCCAGAGGTGAGCATTTCCTCACAATCATACCTCTAAGAGCCTGGAGTCCCACGTACTACTTCGTAAACTCAGATCTATGCCTATAAGCATTCTCTGTGAGAAACTACATTCAAAGAACAAATGATCTCGCGTCTCACTACTCTGCCCACACAGAACACACCCATCTTCATTTTCTCTCCCCCATTTGACCAACTTAACCTTAGTTACTATAGCATTCATGACCATGATCCAAGCTATTACACTCCAACGTGGTACATAAAACTTACCCCATAGCAGTTTATGCCAGGCCTTGTTGCTGCCGTGAGGACGAAGAGTATCATAAACTCTTCTTACAGAATACAAAGGCATCTGTTGCCCATTCCACATGCCCACAATCCCCTGCAAACCCATGTACGAGTGAACAGTCGCCCTTAGCTTCAATATACGTCTCCATGCCCATGAACTTGAAGCATTAACCTTCATAGTCCATAGATCCCCACTTTTGCAGTGATACGCCAACATCCAGGCAACCCAAAGAGCTCCAGAACGCATCATGAGGATCCAAAGCATTCTGCCAGTACATGCTTGGTTCCAACCAGGAAGGTCCCGCATCCCTAAACCCCCTTCAAGAAGAGGCAAATCAATTCTCTCCCAAGCAACCTTCCCACAAAAACGAGTTTCCCTACTAAGAGCTAATAGAAGTTTTTGATTGTCCACACAAAAATATTTTTCTTAATTGTAAATAGTACTTTGGCTTCGTGGGTGACTAGAAGACTTTCTTAAAAGATTTAGTATTCATGTATTTTGCTTGATGCATTTGTCGATAATTGAAATAAGTTAGGATGAATAGTGTTATATGCAGAACTGGAAAACACATGAAATACTCTTTAAAAAAAAAAAGAAAATCGTCGAAATGCTCTGGGGTATCTTCTTATAAATTATGCAAAATACACTTGTATAGTCATAATTTTCACATTTGTGACAAATATAACCATAACTATCTGTAATGACAAAATAGCCAATCCCGTCCATTTTGTTAACAACATTAGTTGATGCTAAGACTAGACTAACGGAAGACGCTGAGTTGACATTTGATTTACCCCACCACCCGACGTGGATAAAAAATATTAAAAATTAAAAAACAAAACCAGAAAGCGACTCAGTTGACCATTAGTCATTCCTTTCTTCAATTTTTCTTTTCTTTCCATCTTCTTCTCTCTCGTCCTCCCACCACAACGGATGACGAGCATTCAATCCCTCCACTGGCGGCTACTTCCGATAACCACCGCCAATCTTCCAATTGACGCCCTGACCTCCTAGAAATCCCTATCCCCACCCCGAAATCGTCAGTGAAACATCATCTCACAATCCATTGCTTCCCTTCCCTAACGAACGCCGACATGCCTCTGGTGTAATCGACCGACGACAACCGTTTCTCGATGAAACACAAGCTTCCTTGCAGTGACAAGAGCTTAGTCGAAGCCTAGGAATCTGGAGCACGAGTATGTCGCGATTGGTGAGTTGAATTGTGAAGATAGACGTTGTGAGATTCGATTCTGGGTAGGGGGTACTTATAGGCAATTTATTGTCTCCTTTTTGTCTCTTTTTGTAATTTTGGCTTGTTCTAAAGGAAGGAAAGTGACACAGCAGATCCCAAAATGGACCACTGCTAGCTTGCTTGTGTTCTTTTCGCGAGTTTGCCCCTCAATCCGATGGTGAGTGCCTCCAACTCCTGGGTAGAATAGTGATCATTGCATTCTTGATTTGTCAAAACCCTAGCATAGAATAATGGTGTAAGGGTGTGCTTTTGATTTGTTCATTAGTCAATAAAAAACTATTTTTACGTTAGGTTAATGAGTTAATTAATGTCTTTGCTGAGATGGCTAATTCATTCGACCAATAAGTAGGTGAAAATGATCCTAATCAACCGGCAGAAGAGAATGATAGCTTTGGTAGCTTTGCAGCAGAGGCTGATGCTGTTGCTTCTGTGGCACGAGATATTTTTCCATGTTTATGACTCTAATGATGCAGACACGTCAGATGATCAGTACTGTCGCAACCACCCCTCCGAATCAGGGGATCCGTCGCGCGTTGCTCGAAGTCGCCATCGATCTTACTTGTGGTGGATCGAACACCATATGTCCGGTTCCAACCTTAGGGTCAGAAACGGGAATTGGTCTGCGGAATTTTAGAAATATGGGTTCGGGAGTACGATTACATTTGGGAAAGTGTATTCACACCCCACAACGCCCTAAATTGATACTACATATATCGATAAGTTTCTAAGAGTTGGGTGTTCTAATTGTATATTGTGTATTTTAGAGTCCAATTGGACTAAGGAGCTAAAAAAAAAAGAATTTCGATGAGATTATTAGGTCTAATGACATGTATCATAAAGAATGAAAAGGTTTTTAGTTAGTTCAATGTTTTGAATGATTTACAAAGTGATCTCATCAAGTTCTATTGATCTTGGTTGAGATGCTAACTGAATTTTTAGAAAATATATTTTGGTAATTAGCTGATGACCTTCAAATAGTTTCATCATAAATGACTATTGGTAACTATTGATCATATCCTCCACATCATTAAATAGTACCGAATTGTGTTCTTAGTAAAAATTTGAGTTAGTTAGCCTAATGGCTAAACGTGTTGTCTCTGAAGCATGAGAGTGTAAGCCTCTGGTTCGACCCACCCCATTGATGATTTTGTTAGTTTGTTTCGATTTTAGAAGAGGAAGGTGGCATGAGGGTTTAATTTAAGCGAAATGGAGAGGGCAAAAGGGTCATTTTAGAAAAACGTGAATAAAGAAGCATATGGAAACCTTAGCCGCTATGTATTCCTTCTTTATCAAGGAGCCCGAGAAGGACGAAGGCTAACCTTGAGGGCAAGGTTGGTCTCAAAGAGGGTGGATTGTTAGAAACATGGTTTTTGACTGCGGGTGTAGTTTTATAATTATTTGGATATTAGTCTGTTATTTAGAGGATATTTTGTTAAGAGGTATTACTTTGGGTAGTTATAGGGAATTTATCGAGATATATATTCTGTATTAGTGGGATCTTTCTCATTAAGCAATAACACAACAATTATTCCTTAAACCCTAAATCTCTCTCTCTCTCTCCTTACCACTCTCGTTCTCCATCTCTTCCTTCGCTAGTAGCCGTCGACCCTCCTCTTCCCTGGGAGACCGATTCATTTCTTCTTCCTCAAGCTTCTCCTTCCAATATCTAATTCTTACCACAATTCCCAATTCTACTTGTCCAACTGTCGATACTTGAACCCTAGACGTACACACCTAGGTCTGTGTTTCTTACACTCATAGCAGTCAAGGACTGGCGAGGAGCATAAGAGAAGATATAAGACTATTATGAGCAAGAACCAATAATTTTGCCATTAAGGAATTACCCCATGAAGAGTGGGAGAAGAGACATGCAATGATAGGAAAAAATTGTGAAGAAGGGTCTTCAAGACCTAGAAATCCTCCTCCAAAGCTCTCATTCAATTCTTTTTCTCCTCTTCTTCTCAAAGCTTCTACCCATCTAAGGGGAGGAGTCTCTTATTTATAGTTTTATGAGGACATGAGCAAGTTCATGGTTGAAAGGTCGAAGTTCGCGGCCTTGATCTCAAGGACAGAGGTTGCGATCTTGGCTTCAACAAATTCGGTCTTGTCTGGCTTGGGCGATCATGGCCTCACTTCACAATCGTGATCTGTGAGTTACGGTCGCGAACTTTCTCCAGGGCTTGGACAACGAGAGACGCGAGTCGATTGTCGAGACTCTCTGGTCCTCCTTGATTGACGACTGCTTCTTCAAGTTCGTGCCCGAAGCT